AATAATTTGGAATAAATCATTATATTTTTAAATAGATTGGGAAGCGAATATTTATAAAAATCGAAGAATATTATAAAATCAATATTTTGAAAATATTTTTTGACTGAACTTGAGAATGAATATCTATAAAAATCAAATAATATTATAAAACAACGTTTGAAATATTTTTTACTGTAGAAATAAAAGGGCGGACAAATTTGGGGTGTGACACGTTTGTTAGAATGTCCACCAGCTGCTTTTGAGTGCTATAGTGCATAACTTTTAATATTCCACTTTGAACCTGATTCCTCAGAAAGTGATACTTCGTCTCAATATGCTTGCTTCTATCATGCAGCATTGGGTTCTTGGCAAGATTTATTGCAGACTTGTTATCAATCATCAACTTCAGAGGCTTATTTACCTCGATCTTCAGATCATACAGCAAGTTCAGAATCCACACAGCTTGGCATGCAGTCAGAGTACCTGCAACATATTCAGCTTCACAGGTTGACAGCGCAACAACAGGTTGCTTTTTGGAACACCAAGAAATAGGACCTCCCAGATATTTGAATAAGTACCCATAAATACTTTTTTGTCAACTCTGTCTCCATACTAATCAGAGTCTGAGTAACTCAGAAGTTCTGATTCGATCTTTCTTCCAGAAGGAAATAACACTCCATACTTCAGAGTTTCCTTCACATACCTCAAAATCTTGATAGCAGCTTGGTAATGAGACCACTTTTGTTTACTCATAAATCTGCTTACCATTCCAACTGCATAACAAATATCAGGTCTGGTATTACAGAAATACCTCAGAGAACCAACCAACTATTTGAAGGTTGTAGCATCCACATCCTCTCCATCAGAATCAGAGTCTAACTTCTGATTCGTATCAGCAGGTGTGATAGCAGTTTTGCGATTCTCCAACTTAAATCTCTTCAGAAGCTCGAGTTCATACTTCATCTGATGCAAAATGATTCCTTTCTCAGAGTACATAGACTCCATCCCTAGAAAGTAACTCAATTTCCCAAGATTTGTCATCTCAAACTCATTCATCAGAACCTTCTTGAACTTAGCTATCTCTTATTCAGAACTTCCTATTAGCAATATGTCATCAACATACAAACATACGAGAATCATATTTCCTTCTGAAGTATGCTGAAAATAAACACCATACTCCATCTCACACTTCTAAAACCCTTATTTCTTGAAAAATGAATCAATCTTCAGATTCCAGGTTCTGGGCACTTGCTTCAATCCATACAAGGCTTTGTGTAATCTGACCACCATCCCTTCTTGATTCTTTATCTTAAATCCATGAGGTTATGACACGTATACCTCTTCTTGTAATGGACCATTCAGAAATGCATATTTCACATCTAAATGCATCAGAGGCCAATTCTTGTTAGCAACTATTACAATCACTAGTATGATTGTTTCATGTCTCGCTACAGGTGCAAACACTTCAGAGTAATCCAACTCAGGCTTTTGTAGAAAAACTCTTGCCACTAATCTTGCTTTGTGTTTTCCAATTGATCCATCTGGCTTTAGCTTCTGTTTGAAAACCCATCTGACACTGATGGCTTTCTTGCCTTTTGGAAGTTTTGTCAGCTTTCAAGTCTTGTTTTTCTCTATAGCATCAAGTTCTTCTTTCTTGGCCTGCAACCAGACTTGCTGCTTAAGAGCCTCTTTCGTACTCACAGGTTCATAGTCTACTAATATTTAACACTGAATAACTTCCCCTTCATAGTCTAATTTAGTGTCCTGCAGCATGTCAAACTCTGCAAATCTTCTTGGGATGCTTCTGACTCTTTGTTGCCTCTAAACTAAACTTCATAACCTCGAACATCAGAACTTTCCCTTTCAGAAGCTCTTGCTTCAGAAATTGGACTTTCTCCATAATCGTGACTGTCTTCAGAGTCTGGAAAATTCCCAAAGTCTAAATCACCATCAGAGTCAGAGTCAGAATCATCTTCACCTTCTGAATCTACTTCAGAGTCGGAGTCACCATCAGACTTGTCTTCAGAGTCAAAAAATTTACCAGCTTCAGAAACATGTGTTTTTGATTTTTCTTCAAAAGTTCTCTCATTAGAGTCAGAATGAGACTTTTCCCAATTCCAGACTTCTGATTCTTGTATAATGGCGTCTCTGCTGAACTTAAATTTGTTATTTTCTAGACAATAAAGGTTGTACGAACCTGTACCGTCGTACCCCACCAGTAATGTTACTTTACTTTTATCATCTAGCTTCTGTCTTCTGGCTTTTGAGATATGTTTGTAACATACAGAACCAAACATCTTCAAATGGCTAACACTATGCTTTTCTCCAGTCCACTTCTAAATAGGAACTATTTTCTTCATCTTATTCGTTGGACATCTGTTGAGAACATAACATGCAGTGGAAACAGCTTCTCCCCATAAAGTATAAGGAAACTTCTTCTCTTTCATCATGCTTTTCACCATATCAAGCAAAGTACGATTTCTTCTTTCAGCAAGACCATTGTGTTGAGGAGTATAGGGAACATTAACCTCATGCTCAATTTCATTCTCCTCACAGAACCTTCTGAACACTGTGGAGTTATACTTACCACCACCACCAGTTCTAAGAATCTTCAGAGTCCGGCCACTCTGATTCTCAACCTTCAGTCTAAGCTTCTTGAGTTCAGCAAACACCCCGTGTTTGAACTTTATGAGAGATACACATATCATTTTGGTGAACTCATCAACAAATGACACGAAATATTTATTCCATCCAATCGATGTTATTGGAAATGGACCACATACATCATAATGCACTACTCTCAAGGCATACTTTTCTCTTGGAGCTACTTCTGACGCAAATGGAAATCTTGGTTGTTTCCCTTTTATGCACACCTTTCATGACTTCTTAAGCTTCTTGATTATAGGAATTCCATGTACCAGCTTCTTCGATTTCAGATGCCCTAAACTTCTGAAATTCAGATGACCAAATCTTTTGTGCCACAACTCACTTTCCTTGATAACACTTGTTGCACTAAGACATTCAGAGTCTGCAGTTCTAACATTCGCCTTAAATGTTATGTTCCTTCCCTGTTCTTACTCCATAATCAGCTTCTGATTACATTCATACAGCTTCAGAAGATTGTTCTTCATGGTACCTGAAAAAACTTTATCAATTAGTTGTCCCACACTTATCATATTTCTTTTCATGTCAGGTACATACCACACATTCTGGATCATTGTTGCTTTCCCATTGTTTAGAATGACTCTGATATTTCCCATACCTTTTGCATTGAGGTATTTATCATCAGCACATCTAATCTTTGCACTCTTCTCAGAGTCAAAATCAACCAACCATTTCTTGTTTCCAGTAAGATGGTTTGAACACCCTATGTCCCATATACCACCACTCCGATGAAATTATATCATCAGATTCAGAAGCCAACAATAGCACAGATTCATCATCAGACTCTCCTTTGGCTATATTTGCTTCTTATGACTTCCTTTTTTTGTTTGACCAACAATCTTTGGCATAGTGACCAAAGTTCTTGCAATAGTAACACTGGACATTCTTCTTGTCATACTTCTCATTCCCTTATGGATATTCTTCTGTCTATCAGAGGTTAACGCTTTTGACCTCTGACCACCAATAGTTTTCTTTCTGACTTCTGACCAAGTCTTCTTCTAATACTTCTTATCAGAAGTTGCTTTCAGAGCCTGATGCTCTACTTCCCTCTCAGAAGTTCTCTCAGTCATACACAACTCATGCATCTCTAGACTACTTTGCAGCTCTTCAACTCTCATGGTGCTCAGATCTTTGGAACATTCAATTAATACCACAATGTAATCAAACTGAGAAGTTAAGGATCTCAATACCTTCTCTATGATTATTTATTCAGAAAGGGTTTCTCCACAAACTTTCATCTCATTAGTGATCAGAATCACTCTAGAGATGTACTCATAAACATTCTCATTGTCCTTCATGTTGAGATTCTCATATTGCTTTCTTAGGGACTGAAGCTTCACCTTCTTCACTGATGCATCACCACTGTAACATCTGATCAGTGTGTCTCACGCAACCTTTGTTGTTTCAGAGTCAACAATCTTCTCAAACACATTCGAATCTACACACTGATAGATGTAGAACGATACTTTCTGATCTTTCTGCCTTACCGCCTTCTGCGTTGTCTTATGTGCATCTGTCGTGTTTGCTGCTAATGAAGCATAACCATCGGTGACAAGATTTAACACATCTTGAGAACCGAACAACATATGCATCTGGATCTTCCAACGATTTCAGTTTTTGCCATCAAACACTAGAAGCTTGGAACTGATATTGTTGTTTCCGTTCATCTTCAACCTTGTGCAGTTCACTCAAAAACTCACTAACACACAGTGTTTCTCAAATCCCACAGAATAAAAAAAAAGTGATTCTCAATCACAAAACACCTCACTGTTCACTCGTGTTTTCCCGTGGATTTCGAATCGAAACTCTAAATACCAATTGTTAGTGCACAAAGGAGAGATGAAAGACAAAATGAATATATTAAATGACGTTACAAAATAAGGAGTAATGAATAAATTAACCTACATACTACTAGACTATTTATACATAATATTAAAATATAATAAAATATTAAAATACCCTATAACAGATTTAGTCAACAAGATATTTCTAAAATATAAATTATTTCCGCCGATATTATATCAAATATTTGTATATTTAATTCATACATTGTAACTTTAATACATTGAATTGAATTCATGTTCATTAAAAGCACACATATGTAATTACTAGAAGTATGACGCTGTATTTGTCCGAATTCAAAAAAAAAAAAATGCTTCTTGTTGTTATCCAAAGAAAAAAAAAGTTAAACATTCACGTGAACTACAAAACCTACCTCAAAATATCTATCCTTTCATCATAACATGTTGAAGCAATTCAATATCAATAAAAGATATCCACTCCTCCCTCTCTATATATAACAGAACTAAATTCACCACATAAACAAACCCATCACAAACAACCCTATCACCAACAAAATGAACATGTTTCTCACTATCTCCTTCTTCATTTTCTCTCTACTTTCACTCTCTCATGCATCAGTAGTAGATTTCTGCGTAGCAGATTACAATGCACCAAACGGCCCAGCCGGATATTCATGCAAAACACCCAAAAAAGTAACCGCCGATGACTTCGTCTTCCACGGCCTAGCCACAAGTGGAAACACCACAAACATTATCAAAGCCGCTGTTACACCAGCATTCGACGCACAATTTCCTGGCGTAAACGGACTTGGAATTTCCATTGCGCGTTTAGATTTAGCTGGAGGTGGAGTCATTCCACTTCACACTCACCCCGGTGCTTCCGAGATATTGGTTGTTGTTCAAGGAACAATCTGTGCTGGTTTTGTTTCATCTGACAATGTTGTTTACCTTGAAACACTTTACAAAGGTGATGTTATGGTTTTTCCTCAAGGGTTGTTGCATTTCCAAATTAATAGTGGTGGTTCTAATGCACTTGCTTTTGTTAGCTTTAGTAGTGCTAATCCTGGTTTACAGATATTGGATTTCGCTTTGTTTAAAAGTGATTTTCCTACTGAGCTGATTACACAAACTACTTTCATTGATGCTGTTGTGGTGAAGAAGCTTAAGGGTGTTCTTGGAGGTAGTGGTTAAAAAAAAAACATGTTATTATCCGTGAAAGAGTGAGGATTAAAGATTAGTGTGTTGTGTTTCAATTGTTGTTGGGTTTGTTTCGTTGGGTCAAGTTTTTTGTTCGAAGGAAGGTAACTTTGGAAATTTGTGACAAGAGATGAATAAATTGTATGTGTGGTGTTTTTTTTAATATTTGAATAATTTTGTGTGCGCAACTAATTATAGTGCTAAAAGAATAGTAATATAATTGTGGGTTTTTATATTTGAAATAGAGAAAATGTTTGGCCAATGCTAATTAATAACCCAAACACCTACTCAAATTTATCAACAGAAGAATCAACTTATCCTTTTTTTATTCAATTTAATAGTATCAATTTTTTTAGTTAAGTTAGTATTAAAAACAATCACAATACCGAAATGAGCTTTTCCTTCTAATAAAATAGGGATTTTATCTCAGACGGTTGGACGAAATAATATAGGGTGGAAATAATATAGGGTGGAAATAGAAAGTATGTTACTTTTTTTTTTCGATTCACTTTATCGAGGTGAAAAAAATGAAAGTACGTTACTTTTTTTTTATTGGTTATATTTTTTTTTATAAATAATATATATTAATAGACACAAGAAATACAAAATTATTACAAGAAGAAAAAAAGAGTCCAACAAAGACACACAAACCTCCAAATAATAAAGAGAAAAGTCAACCCTAACAAAACAACACTACAACCAAACATACTCTAAAGGATTAGAACATCGAATCTCTTTAACTAATTTCATCCTATCTTTGTTTAAAATAGACAACCCAATTCCATTCAAGATTTTTAATGAAAGACAATTATGACACGTCTAAACCTTGACATTAAAAATTATTTGGTTTCTAAATAACCAAACACACCAACAAACTAGTAAGTAAAGAAAAGAATAAAAAGAAGGATTAATGAACCGATAAAATTTCACTTTAAGCTTCAACAAATAATAAATCGGAAAGATGACCTCCACCAAACAACTTTTCTCAAAATCCTCGAACGACGTCACGTCCAACCAATGGAATAACGTCCACCACACTAAAATGGTCAAATTACAATAAAAGAAAAGATGTTCACTAGATTCTTCAAACGGAGCATACAAATGATACAAATTATCCAATAAAGATGAAAATACATCTCTAATGCAAAGCTCATGTTTACTTGGTAAACTGTTCAACATGTTAAACTTTACTCAGAATTTTAGTTTTCCATATAACTCCCAACTCATGGAGCCCCCTTCATCCAACACCAAATTATTAACATTTAACTCATAAATTCTCTTATGACTATTCTTCACCGAAAAGACATCCACATCTCTTCACCACACCATTTTGTCCTTTTCCGCGAGATTAGATTGAATGTCACTCAAAATAGAAGACAAATCAACCATTCCTCTCTAACCTCATAGGAAAGATTGAAATTAATAATCCCTAAATTTCAATTTCAAAAGTCATCCAAACAATAACCCAACTTCCCTGTCTTACTCCTATAAAAATCACAAACCTCATACACATAAGGAAAAAGATCCTTTAAAGGACTCAGACTCAACCAACAACGATCCAAAAACTAATATCCGTCCCATTTCTCTAATTTACAAGAAATGATATTAGGGAACAAGGCCTCACAATTCAATTGAAGGAAAAACCTCATTTTTACTCTCAATTTGTATTAATAACCGAGATGATAATAGAATATTTTTTAAGGGAAAGATTTTTAATTCACTTGAAAGAGAAATTTGTTGTTTTTTGAAAATATAATTTTTTAAACTTTATATTATTTTATATTTGACCTATATTTTTTTAAACATAATCTATAAGATATATTTTGTAAAACATAACCAAATGACACATTTGTGAAATCAAATTATATATACATTCTATAGCAAAATATATTATTTACATCATAACCAAAATTATATATTAGTGTGCTTGTTAATAAAAAATTTTAGGATGCAAAATTGTCCAATATAAACAAATGTCATTTATATCTTCTTGTATGAATGGTGTTCGATTGGTAAACACCTATAATTTAAACAAAATTTAAATTAGAATAACACAATAACGACAATGTTAAACCTTCAATCTCCATAACAATAATAATATCGTAGTGTTATATTTGTAAACAAGGGCGGCCTTGCCCAAGAAACATGTCACCCAGACGATGTTTGAGAGGCTAGACTAGGGGTACCAATGATGTTTAAAGATGTTAGTCAACAAATAGGGAGTCTCCACTAATTCCTGAAAGATTGATGGTCAATAACTTCCCCTAATAAGAATAGAGCAGTCGTCACCATCATACATTAATTTAGCCCAGAGGTCATTCATTCACTACATTTATGTCATTAGTCAGTCGTTCATGTATTAGGTTGACCAAAAGTCAAACATAAGTCAACGTTTGCATAATTAAAATGTCAAAAATAACTTAAATCGTATTTCATGCTATTCACTTACACCACCTCATGCATTGCGCGAAATTAATCAAAGGTGGATTGGAATAAATTTTTTGTTCTAGATAGGTTGATCGGTAAAGGAGATTCGCCATAGCGCACGAGATTAACGGGCGAAATATTTTGACTTTTTGTCTTTATTTGACTGTTTTACGAAACCACATTACGCATATGTCATGTCGGTATGTTTGTTTTATTTTTTCGACTCCTTTTGTGATCGTTTTTTATACAGTCAGAGTTTATTTATGTAGGTATTTTTACTTGCGATTTTGAACATTTTCAAACACTTTTACCGAACTTTGTTGCGTGTTGATTATTTTGATGCATTCATTTTATTTTTCGACTTAAAATACATTCTCTTTTTTTATTTGTGTCGGTCTATTTGATTTCCTTTTACTATTTAAATAAATTGATTCATAAAAAGAATTGAAAAAAAGTAGAGAATTCTCGTTTTTTCGGTGTTGGTTAAGTGTTTTTTTTCTCTTATTTTGTTATAAGTATAAAATATGACTTTTAATTTTATTAGAAAATTCTAAAGATGTGTTTAGATAAAACATTTTAATCAGGGAAAATAATATTTTGAGAGAATTTAAAATGACTCGATCAAAATCTATTGTTTGGATTAAAAATATGGAGAATTGTTAAAATGATATAAATTTATGAAATATTTTATTCAAGTCAAATTAAATGAATTTCAAATGACACTAAAAAACAAATAATTTGAGATTGCTACATAATATGAATGTTAAATTGTTTATTATTATTTTTTCAATATTTGTAAAATAGTCATCATATTTCATGAAAATTACAAATTTAACCCTATATTTTTTTTAAATTGCATAAGTCCCTTAATTTTTTTTCAAAATTAATAAATTATTCCTTTAAAATTTTCAAGAATTGCAAATTGGTCCCTATTTTTCATATTTTAAATTTGACCCAAAAATTTAAAAATTTATGAAAATAATCTTTAAAATTTAACAATGAATCATTTTAATACTTCATCCAAACAAAACAAAAATTTAAAATTAAATAAATCTCAATTGAATTATTTAAATTAATTAAAATTTTAAATTCTTTAAAATTTTCTAATTACCTCATTGAAACATACTCTAAGAGTAATTTAAATAGAAAAGGAGAAGCCAATAACGAAGCCAGAAGAGACCAATCAGTAGCCGCTCCAATCACAAACTCTCACTTTCTCTCTCAAAAAATGAGAAATCAAAAAGCAACATAACAGAACACGGTCTTCATTTGTTCAACGACTTCTTCTTTCTTCATGCAATTCCCTCACTGTGAAACCGTAACAATCACACCTTCATTTCGTTTCCAACAACCCAACAACATAACTCCATAGCTCCTTCACCACTTCACCACTTTCAGTTTTCACATTGTTGGAACAGGGAGAGAAGAATAGAGAGAGAGAACTCAGAGATTGGGAAGAATGAGTAATTCTTTATTTTCCATTCTAACTAACTATTATAATCAGACTTGCTATTTAAAACAATGTAACAAACTATTAGAAAACTAACTATAATTGGTTATCCAACAAACTAACCAATCAGTCCTTATTTCTTATTACAGTCATTGATCAATGTAGTTGAATTATTCTTTCAACACTCCCCTCTAATTCAAACTCCTTAGTGATACCACACTAAGCTCCTTCCTCATCTTGTCAAAACGATCAACCCTCAACGCTTTGATAAATGCATCTGTAACCTGCTCTTCTGTTGAACAATACTCCAACTCTAGCCTTCCCTTGTGTACTTGCTCCCTCAAGAAATGGAACCTCACCTCGATGTGCTTGCTCTTCCCATGGGACACAGGGTTCTTGGCTAAGCTTATAGCAGAAACATTATCAACAAACAGCTTCAAGATCTTCTCCACTTCAATTTGCAAAGCTTTCAACAATTCATCTAACCAGAATGCTTGACAAGCTGCAGATGAACCAGAAATGTATTCTGCCTCACAAGAACTCAATGCTATCACAGATTGTTTCTTTGAAGACCATGAAATAGGAGCTCCAAAGAACCTAAACACATACCCTGATGTGCTCTTTCTCTCATCCAGATCTCCTCCATAATCCGAATCTGAAAAACCTGTCAGCAATGCCTTTTGAGACTTAGCTTGATTTGGAAACAGTATTCCAAAATCATGAGTTCCTTGCAGGTATCTTAGTATCCTCTTAGCAGCTCCCATATGAGTTTGCTTGGGATCACTCATAAATCTGCTCACAAGACCCACTGCATAACAAATATCAGGCCTGCTTGAACACAGAAACCTCAATGACCCTACAATCTGCTTGAACAATGTAGGATCTGCAGCTTCACCAACATTACTTCTTCTCATCTTGACATTTACCTCAGCAGGTGTATTCACTGGATTACAACCAGCCATATTGAACCTCTTAAGGATATCACTCACATACTTACTTTGATGCATAAGTAAGCCATGTGATGTTCTAGTAAACTGCATTCCCAGAAAATAGGTCAACTCACCTAGATCTTTCATCTCAAACTCTAAGCTCATAACCATCTTGAATGCTTCAATGT